GTAGACATTTTTCTGCTGACCATAATGGCTTATGACCGCTTTGTGGCCATCTGTCACCCTCTGCACTACACAGTTATTATGAAGCCCTGGTTCTGTGTGTGGCTGGTTCTGGTGTCCTGGGTTGTGAGTATGTCACATGCATTGTTGCAAAGCTTAATGATGTTGCGACTGTCCTTCTGCACAGATGAGGAAATCCCCCATTTTTTCTGTGAACTTAACCAGGTGGTCCACCGAGCCTGCTCTGACACTTTTCTTAATGATGTGGTGATATACTTTGCAACTGTGCTACTGGCTGGTTGTCCCCTGGCTGGTATCCTTTACTCTTATTCTAAGATAGTGTCCTCCATTCGTGCAATCTCATCAGCTCAGGGCAAGTACAAAGCCTTCTCCACCTGTGCATCGCACCTCTCTGTGGTCTCCTTGTTCTATGGCACAAGCCTAGGTGTGTACCTCAGTTCCGCTGTGACCCAAAACTCACGCTGTACTGCAACAGCCTCAGTGATGTACAGCGTGGTCACCCCCATGCTGAACCCCTTCATCTACAGTCTGAGGAATAAGGACATCAAGAACGCTCTGAGAAGACTCTGTGACAAAGAGAAATTGTGAAAACATCTTTTGTGCTGAGATTGAAGAAGTGCCCATGATTGCAGGGCTCAGAGCCTCAGAGCCAGAAACCGGGGTCCTACCAGAAGGAGGAAGCAGAACTTGCTCCTTCTACTTTACTGCTGGAGTTTTACTTTCTTTGATTTCAGTTTCTTCATATAATCAATTATGTGTTTCACTAGTTGTACTTTCTGCCCTCAGTGAGATCCAGTCCTCAATGATTTTCTGATTCTTTTTTTGTTTGATTCATTTTTGTTTCCGTTTTTCTCCTCACATACAATATGGATTCCTTGATGTTCAAGACTAGATTGCATGAATGTTTGCATCTGTGATCTGTAGTACAGTTCTTTTTAAGGTGTTTATATTCTGAATGTTTGTTAAAATTTGGACAGGGGATTGTTGTATAGAGTCTGAACCAGAAAGTACAAATGGATTAGTTTAAGAAGGGTCTTTGAGGTGGGAAAATATTTCAAACTCATCGACTTTGATTTTGATAGTTGTATCACCACTAAGGAAATGAAGTCAGCCTGCAGAAATATTCCTGAAGTCCCACATTTACTGTGGCATTATTCACAATAGCCAATATATGGATTAACCTAGCTTCCCATTGATGGATGAATGAAAAAAGAAAATATGGTATTTATACACAATAGAATATTATTCAGATATAAAGATGAATGAAATCTCATCATTAGCAGGAACATGGATGGGATTGGACATTGTTACATGAAATAAACCAGAAGACAAATGCTATACATTCTCTATCCTACGTGGAAGCTAAAGAAAAGTTATG